GGAAACGCCGGCCCGCGCCCCTTGGTTCCGCCCTGGGTGGGGAGGCGGCGGCTCCGCTTTAGAATGCGGGCTCCTCAGCCCCAGGTGTGAGAAGGGGTTCTAGGGTTAAAGAACGTTGACACCGACGGCCACTTGTTTTTTTAACTATATTTTTACTGATTTCAGAGAGAAGGGAGGCAGAGAGAGAAACGTCAATGATGAGAATCATGGATCGGCTGCCTCCTGCAGCCCCCGACCGGGGATGGAGCCTCAACCCGGGCCTGTGCCCTGACCCGGAATCAACCCTGACCTCCTGGTTCCTAGGTCGACGCTCAACCACTGAGCCACACCAGCCGGGCCTATTGCCACTTTTATTAAAATATCAAAAAACCAATGGTTCATTTGTAAAGAATTAAATAAAATGCTCAGATGCACGCCAGGGTAGCAGGGTAGCTTTAGATCCCACTCAGCCCTGTAGCCACCCTGGATTATGGTTTTAAATTTAAAATTTTAAGGCACAGGATTTCAGGATTTTAAAGAACAGTGACGTTGTGATAATTCTGCAATTTGTCTCATGATGAATTTCACTGGATCCTGTTAAAATTCTTACAGCATAAATAATAGAAAGGATGTAGACTTTAAGAAGTAAAACAAGCCCCAGCTGGTTTGGCTTAGAGGAGATAGAACATTGGCCTGTGGACTGAAGAGTTCAATTCCGGTCAAGGGCACGGACCTTGGTTGCAGGCTCACCCCCAGCCCTGGTTGGGGCCTGTGAGAGGCAACCAATCGATGTGTCTCTCTCACATTGCAATGTTTCTGTTTCTCCCCCTTGCTTCCACTAAAATTCTATGGAAAAATATCCTCGGTTGAGGATTAACAAAAAAAGAAAGACCGCGAAATAATACATCTTTTTCTAGACAAATTCATTTGTTAATGTTCCAACAACATGATTCATCCTCAAAAGCTAAACCATCACCAGGAGATTGAAACCACTTTCACAGTTTTTATTAGTAAAATTCATTCACTTTTTACGGGCAAGTGTGAACCCTCTATTCGATTTCTACACGTGCAGTAAGTCTAAGGGAGAAGAACACTAGTATTCCGGACCCGTGATCGTGGCCGTGGGCACCAGACCCTCTAGCTGTGGCCCCCGGGGCGGCCGTGGACCCGGAATCTGTACAAACACGTGTACTTCGGATGTCCCCAGTTGCTGAGGATTCTAAGTTTCACACACAATAAGGGCTCAGACACTTCATGCTGGAAAAAAAGAAGAGAGAAAATTAATGGCTTATCAAGAAACCCATCTCAAAGGGTCCTAAGGAATTCGGTTGTAATGGGCAAGGAACTCTTTCCTGCCTTAAGTGCAATCACACAGGCTCTAACGCACTGGTTCTCAACCTTCTGGCCCTTTAAATACAGTTCCTCATGTTGTGACCCAACCATAAAATTATTTTCATTGCTACTTCATAACTGTAATGTTGCTACTGTTATGAATCGTAATGTAAATATCTGATATGCAGGATGGTCTTAGGTGACCCCTGTGAAAGGGTTGTTCGACCACCAAAGGGGTCGAGACCCACAGGTTGAGAACCACTACTCTAACGGATGAGAAGTGAGCCACTATGAATAAAGAGCTCCTAAGAGGACAAACGCAGGGTGAGGAGAAGACAAGGTGGCCTGGACAGCCACGGGCTCCCACTACCATGGCCACTGCTACTGCCACTGCCACTGCCACACCCCACAGAGCTGCCTGCTGGCCACCCCACGGTGGGAGGGAGAGACACAGATACTCAATCAAACATGAAACTCCACAGGTACATTCATTTCTAACATTGCTTCTTCCCCATTGGCTGAGCAGTGTCCTAAAACCCTTGTTTTAATGGTGGGAGGTGCCCTCTCCATCTCATTACTCCCTGTGGCTGATGAGAAGCAATGAGATTTTATTTCATACTAGAGGCCTGGTGCACAGAATTCATGTAGGGGGGGTTGAGGGGTTCCTTCAGCCTGGCCTGTGCCCTCTCCCAGTCCAGGACCCCTTGGGGGATGTCCACCTGCCAGCTTAGGCCTGATCCCCAGCAGTTAGACATCTCTCTCGCAGTCTAGGGCTCTCGCAGTCTGGAATCCCTCCCTCCTTACTGCCCACCTGCAGCGGAGGCGGGAGAGGCTCCCACCACCACCACCGCTGTAAGCCTGGCTTCTGGCTGAGCGGCACTCCCCCAGAGGGTAGCTCCTGCATTGAGCATCTGCCCCTGGTGGCCAGTGCACGTCATAGCGACCATTGTTCCACCGTTTGGTCAATTTGCATACTAGGGTTTTATTATATAGGAGGATGCCTTAACGACTTCAGGAGGGGTTACATGTTAACAGCTGGTATTTTTCTTTCTTTTTTAAAATATATTTTTATTGATATCAGAGAGGAAGGGAGAAGGAAAGAGAGAGAGAGAGAAGCATCCACGATGAGAGAAAATCTTGGATCGGCTGCCTCCTGCACGCCTCGCACTAGGGATCTAGCCCACAACTCGGGCATGTGTCCTGACCAGGAATCAGACCATGACCTCCTGGTCCAGAGGTCATCGCTCAACCACTGAGCCTTGCCTGCCAGCATAACAGCTGGTGTTTTTTCCCATTGAGTGAGGAAGAGAAGTTTACCTGCCTTATCTGGTATCAAGTATTTATTCTCTCTCCCTCTGACTTCCTTTTTGCCTCTAACACATCACACAGAAGGTGAGACAGTGACTATCTAACCTAATAGTTTCAAGGGAACCAAACAGGTAAGGGAAGGGCTAAGAAGGTGAATATACATCTATCATCTATCTATCTATCTATCTATCTATCTATCTATCTATCTATGAAACCCTAAATGCACACCCCCACACCCCTCCAGGGACAGAGCCACGCGCAGCCTAATCCGGGCGCTCGTTACCTGCAGCTCAAATGTTTGCACGGTGGTTCCTGTTCTGTTATACACAAACCGACCGAGGGAAATCTCTTCTCCTTCACACTCTTTCGAGATGCCCTGTGAGGAAAGTGACAGAAAGGAGGCTGCAAGGAGTGGATTCTCCATCAAAGTCAACAGGGCAGCTGTGTGGTCAAGTGGCGCCCATTCTCCAGGTGCCTTGGGGTGCCGGGTGCCAGCAGCACTGTGCAAATAGCCAAACACGTGGAATCAGCTCAAAGGTCCATCAAATGATGAATGGATAAATAAAATGCAATTTAAAAAGCAAAATATTGGCACGTTATATAACATAGGTGAACCTTGAAAACACGGTACCAAGTGAAAGAAGCCATTCACAAGAGACCACACAGGGGATTCCATTTATATGACACGTCCAGAAGGCCGGTCTATGGAGACACAGTAGATTGGTGGCTGCCCATGGCTGGGGGACGGAGGGAGTGGGTGGTGGGAGGTGGCAGCTAAGAGGTACAGGGTTTCTTTGTGGAATAACAAAAGTATGGTCAAATGGATGATGGTGATGGATACATAAATCTGTGCATATACCAAAGCCACTGACGTGTACGTTTTAAATGGATGAATTGTGTGCGTGTGAATTAATTAAGACACAAACATTGAGGCTGGGAAGCCATGGAAGAGAGCTGGTCATTTCCCATCGGAGAACCTCAGTAGACAATAACCAAACCCGAAAAGTCAAGAAATTAGTAAAAGCAAATACGAAGGCGGCAAGAACCTAAATAATTATTTTCAGCTAAAACAGTTGCAAGTGGAAGCTTCCAGAGAGTAAAAGCCGGGGGCAGAAGTGGGACAAGGACAAACTGTTTTGTTATAAACACGTGGAAATGTTGATGCTTTCATTGTGCATGTCTGAGTCTGACAGAGTAAAATGAGGTGATAGAAACCACCTGGTCCAACCCCCTCAGTGCGTAGACGACAGAGTGGAGCCTGGGAAACACGGGACTTGGTCCCAGTGATACAAACGGTCCGCTGCACAGCTCAGACCCCAGCTCCTCCTTCCTGGCCCACCGCCCTCTCCCCTACCCGTCTCTGAACGGAGATTCAGGGAGATTCTCACGTGGACAGAAAACTCCTTGGGGGCGCTGGAGATGCTTCCCGAGGGAGACACCTTCTCGGAGATGTGCTCCATGGTCACCGAGGTGGGGATGATCTTGCCGGCGAGCTTGATCAGGGCGTGGCCCTGAGAACCTGGGAAGGCCCAGCACCTTCCAGGGTGAACATCCGGCTGGAAAGCAGACAGAGTTCAGCTCTTACCTGATTACATAAATCCACCCACAATATTGGCCAGCTGGTCGCTACTGACCACAGGTCTCGCTTACGCCTATACTCTAAAGCAGCAGTCGCCAAGCAGTGGTGCACGGACTGCTGGTGGTCCCTGAGGTCCAAAAGGTTGGCGACCACAGTTCTAAAGGCCCTGCCTGGGATGCGTGTCAAACAGGAGAACTTCAGACACCTGTAGGGTTGGTTGTCCTTCCAGCTCACGTTCTGCTTATATCTGTTAGAGCCCTTTGTTATGTGAGAATCTTTTCTTTCAGTGTTCGAACTGGACTAGAAGCTACTAGAAGGCAGTTAGTTAGTATGAGTGTTGATGGGGTGCTGGGGGTGCTGAGGGTGGAGAAGGTATTGATGGTGGTGGTAGTGATCACTGTGATGGTGATGGAGGTGATGGTGATCATGGTTATGGAGGTGATGGTGGTTATGGAGGTGATGACGGTAGTGGTGGTGGTGACGGTGGTGGTGGTAGTGATGGTGGTGGTAGTGGTGGTGATGGTGGTGGTGGTGATGGTGATGGAGAGGGTGGTGGTGGTAGTGATGGTGGTGGTAGTGGTGGTGGAGAGGGTGGTGGTGGTGATGGTGGTGGAGAGGGTGGTGGTAGTGATGGTGGTGAGGGTGGTGGTGATGTTGAGGGTGGTGGTGAGGGTGGTGATGGTGGCGGTGGTGGTGGTGGTGATGGTGGTGGTGGTGGTGGTGGTGGTG